CTTCTCTCTAATCTTACACTGCTAAATTAGGGACGGCTAGCGCAGATAGCATTCGTGTAGCTTTGCTCGAAATTAAAACAAACAAACAATCCGACGATGTCTTTTCTGTAGATTGATAAAAGATAATACACTTTATAAAGTCTTTGAAGATGTTCAATGAAATATATTAATACCACACATAAGATGGTAATGTAAACGATTTTACAAGTTTAGGATACACATTTATATTTCACCCTTTTTACTATAAAAACATGTTAAATAAAAGATCCTTCACATCTCCAAAAATATAAAAGGATAATTGGATTTGAGGACAATCTACAAAACAAAGAAATATAAAAACACTTGCCCAAAGTTTCAATATTAAACACTGGTGCTTCTCAGTAGAATATAAAAACACGACAACTTTTACACTATAAATGCAATACAAACAATTATAGTTAATATAAGCATAAGAATATTCATATTCTGAGTACTGGATGTTGTGACTGTGTAATAAATAATCAATAGATATCCACTATAAAAGGGAAACGTAACACCTACTGCCTGTAAAGTGTAAAACGTATACAGGATATTTTTACAATTTACCTGTGTGAAGTGTCTTCAAAATGTTTATTCGTATTACTTAGAATGTGTAAGCCATTTTTGGGACCCATATTTTTCATCTAGAATTTGGTACGTTATCTGACATCATATTTCCTAATTGCAGGTGGTATTGTCTAAGTATTAATGATTCTCACTTAGCATATGAGAAGTTTCAAAAAGTAAGTTTGCTTCTTTAATATTTTCCATTAGTTAAAGATATTTCTAACCCTTTATAGTGTATAGGTTTTCCTCACGGTACTGTAACTTCCACTCTATATCTAACGAATGTTATGTGTCTCTACTACTGACTACTTTACAGGTTGTGTAATGGTTACACGGTATCCAATGCTGTAAGGTATACAGAAGTATTCTGAAGACAGTCTATAAACGTGATCTACAGAAGTATCCTGAAGACAGTCTATAAACGTGATCTACAGAAGTATCCTGAAGACAGTCTATAAACGTGATATACAGAAGTATCCTGAAAAGAACTCACACATGCTTAAGTATCCTTAAGACAGCCTAAAGACATTAAGTCATTGCTGTCAATAAACGGTACTTTACTTCGAGTTCTTCATTTCTAATGGCAGTTTCTGACTCAATTTTACTCACTGTAGGCAGAAACATATATCTTAAACACCATGAAGCGGGTTATATTGCTAAAAGAAAGCAATATAAAGTTTGTGCTTAAAAATTCTATGCTCAATACATTTACATTAATTTTAACAAAAGCACAATATTTAGTTAATGATATTTAATACGGGTATTTTTACCTTGTTGTAAACAAAAAGATTAAAAGTGTACCTACTTTTAAATGACACATTTCGAATATACTCTAAAAGCTCCTTTCCAGGGGGCGCTGGAAACATGCCTTCACATCCCATAAAGTACTCACAGCGTTCTTTTATCATGTGGTGTAGTGCATGCGCCATGGCATATACAGCATCAATTACAAATGGCACCAATCCTTCTTGTTCGTATTTATCCAAGGTTTCGGTTCCTATGGATAACATTACAAAAATCTGAGGAATGAATGAATTAGTCACAATATTATTTTTTAAATTCAGGCAATTTAAAAATTATAACTACATATCATTGGTTTTCTATAGTTTTCGTTACGAATGACTACAGAGGAAAATGATGTTAAGTCACATCTCTTCATTTGTTTCGGCACACTACTTTGGGAGAGAAAGAAATATTTAAGAGGAAATGCCAGCTAAATAGCAGCTAAATACAAGAGGAATTAATTAACTCAGGAAAAACGATTGTTCGAACCTTAAACTTTCTATTTTGCTACAGAAAATAGGCGGGAAAAACTTTAATTGTACTTTACAGCAGTAATATCCTATTTCGAATGCTAAAGAATTAATTGGAAACAATTATTCTGTTGGATTTCTGAGTTCCTGCTATTTCTAGCAGGGACAAAAAAGTACACAATTAATGTTTCTGAATGTATCAAAAAGTCATTCAGATGTTAATTATTAAGGTATTTTTTCATATTTCTTTAGCTTTCGATTTCTTTAACGTAGATAAGACTACACAATAGAATAGTAGATTGATTTTTTAAAAGCTTACTTCTTGTTAACTAGTTAGAATGACATAAAGGGTTGAGGACGTTGTAGTGAAACGAAAAATATCCAAATCAACACAGCCGATATAAAGTCAGGGTGGTGGGACGGAATGTATCAGAACTACATTTTCACATTGTATGGCGTTACACAGGTAATGTGATGCCATCTAAAACTGATAGTTTTGGGGAAGAGTATGTAAGAGTTCTTTCCGACGCAAAATATTCATACAGTCACGCAGATAATAAAGATGTCTTCAGATCGGGAAATTTGAATTTGGCATTGGACAACAAAGAAATATGGATCAACTTGGAGAGCCAGAATCATCCAGAAAATTACCTGCAACATGTCGTACTCCATCCGCGATAAGTTAAGTACTGCATCTTGTAATAGACGAGAATCCACGAACACTAAGGTCACGAGCAAAAGCCGTCTACATGTCGACAGGGTATGGTTTCACGAACATAACTCTTCTAGTCATAGCTCCTATTCAACTGTCACATACCTCAAGCTGCTGGAGAACCAAACTGGTATTCTTGTTATTCCAGACGAAGACATACCGGCCTATAGATTTCAGTGCGATCAGACTGTTGTAACGGGCGCGGGAAAACTGTCGTCCTCATACTATGAATAGATTATGAAAAGCATGCAAGAAGCAGTGGTGTGCTTTTGACATGATAGCTTTAAGACATTGCAAGTGATACTGTCAAAATGTATGAACGTCAGATAGAGTATGATTTAACGTGGCGACATGGACTATAACGACGTAGTGAGGCTTCAAAATAGATTTATCACAATATACTTAACCCTTTGTAGACCAACAAGTCAAAAAAGCAAGACCTTTACGAAAGCGTTATATTTCATGAAAATTAAATTCATATTCCAAAGCTTATTAATTTTCTTTAATTCGTAAAACCACGAGTTTATGTGTAATGGATACGCTTAAACGTTTAAAGCAAATGTTAAATACGATTATTTTAGTCAGTAATGCTATATTTTTTTCTTGAATAGCAAAGTACATAAAATCTTTAATGAAATTGTAAGGGCACCTAAAGCCGTTACGCTTCTTTATACGATAAAAATTCATAATACAAAACCTTGAAAACAATATGAGAGCTATAGAATAAAAATGATCGTGCAATACTGAACTTAATAAGGGCTAGATAACCTAATGAACCAAGCAATGCAAGATAAATACAATGGACTTTACAAAGCTGGATAAGGATAATTTGTTTATATGGCTTCTTGTAGTGCTTCAAAATGGTAAATAGCACAACCATTCTTTATCGCAAGTACTCTTAAATTAACTTAATTTTTTGAATGAGCAAATGGGTTTCAATATACCAGATGCGGTACTAATAATACCAATGGAAACATAAGATTAGCAGCAGTATGAAGTTTTAGTTTATCCTATTTCCACGTAGCTAACAGAGAAAACAGACTAAACATCATTGTTGATACAAAGATCTCAATTTTGTTCAATATAGCAAACCTGTGTTTGTAAAACCTCATTATTTTATACTACTAACGTTAGAATGAAACAGGCAATTAGAGAATGCTGAAAGCTGATATCAAGAGGCTGTGGAGGAAAGCTTGAGAAAAAAAAAAGTTTTGTAATACCAATTTTGATGTACGTGGTATACAAATTTATTATGTGGTTTATACTTACCTGTACAAAAGGCAATATCTGCGTAACCGTTGTCAAATTTGCAATCAAAATGCTGCTCCCAGAACGGTTTAAACCACGGATTCCTTTTGTTCATCTCTGGTCTCAAGGATTTGAAGTATCTATTGAAGTCTATTGAAGAATAAAAAGATCACAAGTACTTCATGTACCTTCGCCACTTTAAACAACACGTTTACATATGCTTTTCTATGCTAAACACCTTAGGCAGATATACGTAAGGATAATATCAATTCTACGTGCCAAATGGATCTCTCGTAGAACACAATTTATATCTATAAAGTATACGTTTCAAGATATCTCTTAGTACAGATTACCTTGATTTCCAAGCAAGAAATACAGACTATACAGCCAACTACCTTTATAGATCAGTTATGCTAGGTAATTCTAAACACATTATTCTCTAGTTTCTAAATGCGTTAACTAATACTACTGTATCGAATTTCAAGAAAACAAACTGTTTTCATATATATGATCTGTTTACTGACGGACTTGATTCTTTTCTTCTTCATGTTGTATTGCAACTGTCTATTAAATGTTAAAGCACAGCCTCCAGGGAGGATGGGTCTTGAAAGAACTTGGCGCTGAAGACCTCATTTATTGCCTGAGGTATTTTTACCCGAGTGACAAAAGGATTAAACGTACAGGATTACAACAGAGATGAGGGCATGCTTTCCATAATCGATTTACCCGGCTATATTTTGACGTCAGTTTGAAAACAGTGATCGCAAGTTATATGCTTTTGTTGGAAACAAAGAGAACGAGAATTAAGAGACTCTGAGTTTCAGAATTTCAGAAACAACTGCAATTATTATGTTTTAACCACGATGATTAGGAGGTAAGTAACGATTAACATTTTATGAATGATTTCAATATAAATGTGATTTATTGCATTTGGAACTATACTACATTCAACTAATGAAGAAAAAAAAAAGAACACGAAAAAGTATTTATGACAGGCGTTTCCATGCATATATTTAAACATATTTTGAATTGTTAACAGTGAAATATATTGTAGAAACCTTCCAAGTTATTATAAGTAACTATTATTTCCTCAAAATTTTCCCTGTAAAAAATTTGTATTGTTTACACTTGTGGAAAATTCCTCAAGATGTGTCACTCAAACACGCATTTGACAGATTTATAGGTATGTATAAAACGAGAGAACTTTCAAAATAAACAGTATCATTGAGAAACTAGTAAACATTTTCAGAACTGGATGCCATGTTCTAAGAACAAAGCAGTATTAGTCTATCGTGTTTGTACACAATGTATGGAATATTATTTTGAGATTCAATAGACTTGCTTTTTAAGTGTTCCAAAGACATATTGAAACAGCAAAATGCGCTTTACCTTTTATTTCGTTCCTTTTTGGTAAAATTGTAATAGCGCCTTCTGCCGCCATTTCTTGGTACCTGACTGGATGTGCTTTAGCACCCCAACTATCGCTTCCTATCCACTGAAAGTGACCTATTTTACCTGCATCTATTGTGGCCGCAAGTAGTTTTCTATAAAAAAATACAAATATATTGATAAATAAAGGGATAAAAATTACGATGATAGACGGAAATAATAACAGATAAATAACATTTGTAGAACGAATCTCGGATCGGCAATATTTGATTCAAAAGAGGTAACTTTACATTAACCCCTCAACCATGATATAGTTAGCCTTAACCCTATTGTATGCTCCACATTAAAAATATGAAACGTGCCACATAAAATCCACTCTTACCTACAGTTATCTTCGTCCACGAACAATACCACACCACGAGCACGAGGTTTGGTGCTCAGGTTTTCAACAATTCGACTAAAATCTTCTGATTTTGAGTTTCGAGATATTTTTTCGGACACAGCAATGCATATTCCTGGATAACAGAAAAAAAAACGGCTTTAAATAACGAAGCGTCGAATTAATCAGATTACCAATCTGAAAATCCATTGTTTGTATAAAATCTGGTTACTTGGTATTACATGATATAGTGATCAGATATTTTATAAAGGAATAAAACAAACAAACAAAAAGGACAGTATTTTTTTGCTAATGTTACAGTAGAAATATAAATCAGCGCATTATCGGACTTTTGGTATAATATAGTAGATGTACAAGTATTTATATCACCCTTGATATTTGCCGTTCAGAGTGAATTTGTTTTAAAGTTCATCATGCGAAATTAAAATTTTTAATATGGTAATTTTATAGGTTAACATTTATACAAGCAGTTTAAAGTAGCTGATTAGAAGAGAATAATTCATAAATACCTCCAAACCATTTAGAAAAGTTTCGTAACATAAAAAATGGCGACTTGTATCATCATTGTATCATCATACACACATCAATCCTAAGTTGTATATAACGCTTAATTGTAATTATTTGAAAATATTCGAAGACATAACTTTTCTATACGTCATGAACATTACATTAGTAAAAACTCATTTATTGCAGAACATACATTTGACGACCAAAAAAAGTTTACGAATAATATCACAAAACTTACTGGATGCTTGAAACTACAGCACGTTTATAAAAATCATATGGTTGAGAAAACTTTCAACATACATATCTCCCATCACTTAACCTGTTGTTTTTTCTCCGGTGATGTCTAAGAGGATTTAGTGTTTGAATGAAAATAAGAAAAATGGTCCTTCAGATTTTACGTTGAAATGGATAATATAAAAGAAGCTGCAACTAAAGGAAAAAAGAATGCATCGACATAGAATGGTCTAAGTGACTTAGAAATTGACTCTCAGAAAATGAATTAGTTTTCTATTTATTATTTTTACACCAAAGTTTCTTTTGTTTGTTTGTTTTTTTAATTTCGCGCAAAACTACACGAGGGCTCTGCGCTAGCCGTCCCTAATTTAGCAGTGTAAGACTAGATGGAAGGCAGCTAGTCATCACCACCCACTGCCAACTCTTGGACTACTCTTTTACCAACGAATAGTTGGATTTCTCCACGGCTGAAAGGGCGAGCATGTTTGGTGGGACGAGGATTCGAACTCGCGACCCGCAGATTGCGAGTCGACCTCCCTAACCACTTGGCCATGCCGGGCCTACAACAAAGTCAAGCCCTTGTTGAGATGTTGTTGTGGAACTTCACCCGAGCAATACATGAATAGTTTATAGATAATGTAATGACAAGTTTTTGAAATAAAAGAAAAATAGGGACTAGCTGTTTTTTGTTACTTTATTATGTTTGAGAAAACATAAAAATAAACATAAACATAAAAATGGAGCTGGCACACTAAAATACGTTTTTCAAAATATTCATATATTACTGGAGCAGTTTGTCATTTATTATCTAGTTTCAGTATTTGTATATTCATAAAGTCTTTAAAAATCAGAATGGTTTCGATTTCCAAAATGTTGTTTATATCTTGTTACCTAGTTACAATACTATATGCCAACAACCTGAAAGAAGGTAAAACCTTATCTTCACGAAAGTATATTTTATGGAAATTAAACTATTATTATATCCGAGTTTATTAATATCTTTAGTTTAGAAAATTACGAGCTTAGATGTAATTGAAACTTTGTGAATAAACGTTGAAATGCTTAAACAAATAAGAATTCAATCATTGTAGGAAAACTAAATAAATGTTTAAAAGTTCAGTTCCAACGAATTAGCTTCATAAAATACAACTGAATGTTTAATCAAAGAACGAAAATATTGGCGTTTGTGGTTTTAACATCACATTAAAAATCATTTTAAATAAAACGAAATGTTTTATTTCTATTTTTTTTTGTATAGCAAAATGTATAAAATCATTAAGCACATTAGAGTTGTCTAAAGCTTTTAAATTTCCTTAACAGACAACAATTAAATATACAAACGTAGAAAACAATATGAGAATGATAAAATAACAATTATCATAAAATATTGTACTTAGTAACGCTGTATCATAAGATGATCCTAATAACATTGAATAAACAAAATATGTTTAGTAAGTCTGGGTAACACAATAAACATGTCAAAACTGAGTGATATAATGAAGTGTACTGAATAAGGTTAAATAATACAATAAAATTAGCCAAAGCTAATAACAGTTGGATCACAGACAGAGCCTAGTAAATCATAAAAAAAACAGAATAAAACCAAAACTAAAACTGAATAAATTCAATGAGTTTAGTAATACTGAATTACAAAACGAACATAAGGTTGGAACATATAATAAATTTAGTAAGTGTCGTAAACGAAATGAAACTAGAAAAGCTGGATAACATAATGAACTTAGTAAGTGTTGTAAACGAAATGAAACTAGAAAAGCTGGATAACATAATGAACTTAGTAAGCCATATAAACAAATATGAAACGAGAAAAGTTGAATAAACACAAAGAATTCAGTAATGCCAAATCACAGAAAGAACATTTGAGGGCTGGATAACATAATGAAGATAGGTGCCTGATGGCTTTAGGTTAGGTGGGTAGAACAGTGAGCTTGATAATATTGGACAACACGATGCATTTTTGTAGGTTATATAACACAATGCACATAATAATTTTATTAGAAATATAATAAAATTAGCTGGTTAACTAAGACAGTAGTATTAAATATAAAATGAGCTTAATAGACTGGATATCACAATGCTGTTAGCACTACTGGATAACAAAATACACTTACTAAGTTACTCACAGTAATATAAATAAATAGTTAACCATATTAATGTAACATTAGGAGTATACGATTGAATAGAAATGTTAGTTACGTGGCAGTAACTAAAAAATACAATTATTCGTATTTATGTTGGTTAACTCATATTACTAAATAGAATATTTACCATAACCTTTGAGAAATCACGTCTTACGACTTCATTGTTGAATTTTAATAAAGTTTTGAATGAAAACCATAGTATTTTTATATAAAAAAAAGATGTTTTATAGTGAATTTGTTTTTATGCTTTTGTATCCTGTTGGAATAAGACGCTACCTAGTTATAGCTTTGTTATCATAGTTTTCAGTTACACATCATAATATTTACTGTCTTTCAACTGTACATTTATTCTGATCTAAGATCGTATAATATTGTATAGCTTCTGTTCTTCCTTCCCGATTTAGAATCATATTATAATATATGCTGTCGTCTATTTCTTTCATCCTGTCTGATCCAAGATCTGTAGCTGATGTATTCCCTTCTTGATTTAGAACCACTATACACTGCCTTCCACTTCATCCATTCTCTGTGATCCAAGGTCAGATAATATTCAGAACCACATTATTATATACATACTACCTTCCACTTCGTCCATTCTCTGTGATCCAAGGTCAGATAATATTCAGAACCACATTATTATATATACTACCTTCCAGTTCATCCATTCTCTGTGATCTAAGGTCAGATAATATTCTATAGTTAATGTTCTTCCTTCTTGATTCAGAACCACATTATTATATATATGGGCTTTCCTTTCTTATATTTTGATTGATTAAATCCCACGTTATTTTGTTTTTGCTCTCATTATGATAATTATAATTAATTATTTTTCACTTTAATTTTTGTTGGTTAAGATATGGAAGCTTCTTAAGTTTTTATCTTTATTTGTTTATTTAATAACCTGCTAATTTCAGTTGTTTCTATAATTTCTATAAAAAATATCTATTTTCTAATATTTCCAAACATATATGTTTCTTTGTAAACTGCTCCAGTTAGAAACATTTTATTTAGACTCTATGCTCTAATCGTAAATAAACTTTCCTGATAAAGACAAAGATGATAGTTAAGATGAAAAAAAATTACACGAGTGAAAGTTTTTGAAATACACTCTTTCCACCATCATCAGCGTTTTCTGAGGACAAGATTTATTAGTGGAAATCGACTTATGTAAGTTAAATGTTTTTCCTTTTTAACTATCATCTTTGTCTTTATTAGAAAACTTTGCTTTCTCCTTTTGAAACTATAAACTATTTTTTTTTAGTTTTAAACATTACCTGCTTTTTGAGCTAACATCTTGAAATACTCTATGCCTTTCTCTCCGTAGTCGCCATCAACAGCAACCGTAGACACATAATTCCAACCCAACTTGAGTATGACGTCAACCATAGCCTGAGCCTGGAAGTTGTCAGGAGGAACAACTCGTGAAAAGTAGCCAAACCTTGCTTTATCGCTGAGTTCAGTACTAGTAGAGGCGTAACTTATCTGCGGAATCTGTAGAAAGATACAGTACATTTGCTAAAATAATCTACGAATTTCGAACTGGTGTATTTAAGTGTTTTACACTCACAAAAATAAACCTATCGTTCTATAGGTATTTGAAGAACTTGTTTAAACAACTCTATTTATTCAATCTACGAGTTTGTTTTGTTTCTTTTTTGTTAAACACAAAGAAACACAATGGGCTATTATACTGTGTCCATTGCAATAAATCTAACTTCGAAATTTAAGCCTTCAAGCTTACCGCTGACCCACCGTTGGATCAATAACTTAGGAAATAACCATAAACGACTATTTAGACTGTTTATGAATAATAATGATACATTCAATATGTACTA